ATAAATTAATTTATATCTTAATAGGCTCCAACAACTGTTTTTTAAAACTCTCAGGCCTGTGGGAACTACATAAAAGCACATGGAATAAGTACAGCATATGACATAAAGCGCGCTCCAGCATCCTATTAGATTCTGTCTGAAAGCTACGGTGCAGCATATTGAACCTGGTTTTGATTTTCACCATCTCCATGTCAGAAGATGCTGGAAGGGAGCGATTGTTACATCTTCCTCATCAAGTACTCGGTAAGTATGGTTGGCTTTACTGTAGCCAATAGATTAACAACCACACTCTTAATTTCAGGGATGGTTTTTACATCCCGTATTCATCTTTCATGACCCACATCCTTAGAATTCCTGGTATGTTATGAACATAATTTTTTTTTTCCATCTGTTATAAACTGGTCACTCACATTAGTTTTTCTGCATAAAAAAAAAAAAAAAAGATTTGTTATGAAAAATGTCAGCTGGAATTAGTAGCATATGTTTAACGGGGGGATTTGTACATTAACAGCACTTTGAGGTGTGATTAATCCATGTATAATGGGTGGGAAGGGGGGCTGAAAGTGATCAAAGGAAGAGAGCCAGCTTCCAGAGATGAGGATTTTTGCAATTTTATAATGTTTCAATTACAAAATAAGACATAAATGATTATTATTACATTTAGTTTTATATTTTCAAAATCAGTATTATGATAAAAAAAAAACAGAATTGAGAACTTCAAGCAGCGTTCAATTCAACTCCAAATCAAATCTCTAAGAGAAATGTTCTAATTTAATATTTAGAGCTTTTCTAACCTTTGTTAAGTCTTTTAAGAAAAAAAAACTAAACAGAAAAAGCATTACCAATTGATATATGGTATCAGGGATTAAAAAAATGATGTGTTAATCAGAAGCAAAACAATTCACAAAAAAAGAAAAAATAATAAACATGATTTAATTTAATATATTTGACCAAAACAAATAACATAGCAGTGAGATTATTTCCCCAACATCCTGTATAAGGAAACAAACTGCAATAATATAAAAAAATAAGCAGTGAAAAACAACTGTGTTATTCACTCTGGATATAAGATAAAAAGAGGATTGGATCAATGTTGTCTGGCATCATGCAGGGGAATATTTTTTTATCGCCCTGATAATACCCCCATCTATGTTAAATCTTAAAAACCAACTAATGCGATGCATCTGTTAGTTGTTAGTTTGATGGGACACATATGTTCTTTATTATTCCACCGGGTGATTATGTGATTAAGACTAACCCTCTTAACTGATTACAAATACGTTAGTGGGGGAAAATAACAGCAATAATATATGAAAACGTAGTCAAATAAGAGTTTTAATTCAACAAGCTGTACAATGCAAGATAATTCAAGCATTAGAATGGAGAGGTGCTGCTTTACACAGAGATCAGATGAGTTTTTATATGTACTTGTTGAGGCCATATTTGTGATGGAGAGTGTATGAACCGAGTTTAGTCTATTTTCATATATCAATACATGTGATCAGATTTTCTAACAAGAGAAAACATAATAAACAGTGTTTGCTTTGGGAGCAGGGTTGTTGACTGTAGGCCCTGCAGCAGAGAATCCACAGCCTCAAATAAACCCACAGCTGTAAGTGGGTGCTATACAAGAACGGCTATATGATCATTTGAAGACTAACACCTTCTACTTTTTGAAAATATAAATGAAAGATGTGTGAAAGACTAAAACACAGCCTAACCTGCATCAGTTAAAACAGGACTGAAAGCCGATTTTTTTATTCTCAAAAATAAAGGGTATTTTTTTCAATAGCAGTAAGAAAGGCATGCTTTTTAGAAAGCATATGTCATCGTATTAAATTAATTCTCCAAATGTGCCAAATTATAAAAAATTGTGCTTATTGGTTTTAGATAATAATTTGACCCCAAAAATCACATTGAATCTTATCGATGGCTACAAAACATATGTGAAGCAAATATTTTTTCATTTTTCTAACTTTCCATCTAATTATTTAAAAGTGTGCGAAGATTCACGATCTAATCTGCAGAACACAGAATATGTAAAAGTATGCAAGGGGTATGTGCTTCTTCAGAGAATAGATGAAATGAAACGAAACAGATAAAAAAGAAAGAGAGAAAGCAGATGTTTCATATATGACTATTTAATTTTCAGTGATCAAAAACATGTATATATGATCACAGCTTTTTTATTTGTACTCTTATATAGTTCAATTTTAACCAACCCTTTGAAAAAGGGTGAAGGTGATGAACAATTATATTGCTGAATGTACGATTTATTTGTTTGACTTTCAATCATACCTTAGAGAAAATTAGGTGTCAAATTCAATTTATATAATAGTTTCTGGATTCTCTTTGAAAAACTTACAATTAGGGCCCAGTTTTTAATATATTTCATCATGTGTTGGTTAGTAGGATAAAGTCTATGACTAAAAGGTCTTGATTTTTACCTTAAGCTGTTGTTTCTGTAACCAAACTGCTGGTGGCAGCAGTGAGCAGCTGAAAACAGACGAAGAAGAAAGGTCAACAGGAAGAAGGAAGAGATCTTCTGCAGTAAGGTTAAGGATGCATTTTGTGTGTGTTTTTTTAATCTTAGTTTTTAACATCGGTTTCGGAACTACTTTCTGATTAAACCGATGTGTTTGCAAGAGAGGATTAAATCAGATATATTTTTATTGTAGGAGACATATAAGAACTTTGATGCAGGGTTGATAATAAAACAATGATTGTTAATTTCATCTTTTTAGTGCTTGAATTGCTAACAGATCTGGCTTAAGTTCTATATTATGTATTTATGATTTTAGTTTATTGAATTATTCTTAAACAAACTGAGGGGATAATATTTCTGTGATAGAAATACTGTAAAGCAGTTACAGTAAATTGACTGTTTTCGTTATTAAAAGGCAGTTTCTTTAAAATTTTCTTGTATGCAATCTTTTTTAATTGAATGGTAAATTAATGTTTTTCACCTCAACATTTTCAATAGATTTGACCGATTGAAAAGGGATTTGAAGACAGTGCTTTGTTAGATGATGCACACCCCTCCAACCTTTCCACATTTAGTCCATTTAAAAACAAACTTCAGTATATTTACAGCTAACAGCACGTTTCATTATGGTCACAATATGAGATTATTGACTCAAACTATGGTAACAAACAATAATAACAATACATGGTCAGTTTTATATAAATTCCATATATCTAGACCCCTTTTCTGGGATACCCCTAAATAAAAGTCAGTGCAACCAATTGTCTCATTATTAGAGTAATAAAATATGCTCATATATAAATTTTTGCTGTTGAACAGAAGTGGAAACACAGCAGACTGCTGAAGGATGCAGTTGTGGAGAATTTTAAAGCAGTGTTAATTTTTAAAACTATGTCCTAAGTTTTTAATCTCTAGCAGAACATTGCGCATCCCAGTTTCTAAACATATAAGTAGGTTGGCTCGCTCACGACCTCAACAACACTTAGAAACCCTCCTAAACTAAAAGGCTGGGCAAGGAGAGCGCTGATTAAAGCAGGAGCTATCATCCCTTTGTTGCTGTTATGAAAGAGTAAAAAGAGCAAGAAAGGGATTATTGAAAGAAAAGTCTTATTTGCAGTTTAACACAAACCCTCACCAGACTATCCTCAATGGTATTTATTTCAGTGGCAGCATCATGCTGTGGGGATTTTTCAGACAGGAAAGCAGGTCAGAGTGGATGGAGAATCTGAAAAGACCAAATGAAACTTAGGAGTTGCTTCAGCTTTTATCAGGACAATGAGCAAAGGATCAGAGCTGTAATGTAAGGATTTAGATCACAACATATTTCCATGATAAAATAGTGTAAGAGTTTAAACTAAAACTAAACTGAGAATTTTTGAGAATTGATTTTCAGACCGAGCAGAGAGGTGCTAAAAGTGTAAATCAGCAGCTTTATCACAACATGTTTGCCGACAGTCTGTCATGAAATAATTTCCCTTCTGTTTAATTCATGTCTGTCATTGATATGATTTCATAGCATCCGCCCATCTGACATTTTCTTTTTCATGATAATTTTATCTCTAGGCTCTTAGAGGAATCAGAATTTTGATAAAAAATCAGCGTTCCTCTAATTACAAGAAATAAATAGCTTATTCACTTTAGTCTTCTGCTTTTTGAGGTTCAAAATAAAAGTGCATCTTAAAGATTTCTGAGAGGATGTTTTCATTTTGGCTCAATGCACTTTCATCATTATTCGATATATCATAGTGGATTTGTGTTTTGATACACACCTAACCCACCTATAGACTTTGAGCTGCAGCAGAAGGTGGTTCAAAAGTCTTAAATTGAATGTGCTGAATTCACATTTACGCTCTTCATTTCTTATTGCATTCCAGTGAAAACCTTTTAAGATAATTCATGCCTTTCTTTCATCTTTGCAATTATGCATTACTTTGCTTTTACACAGTCACAGATAAATCTCAGGGAAATACACTAAGGATAAGGGTTGCATTGCACAGAACATATAAAAAATATTCCAGAAATGTGAACACTTTTTTCCAAAGCACCGCTGTGGCTTCAGTTAAATCAAATAAAAAAGTGTGTCTGAATATAACTAGAAACAAAACTAAATAAACAAACTAAATGATTACCTTTACAACAGAATTTGATTTGATCAAATATCCCAAACGGACAATATCAGAGATTTTTACGGACATTAAACCATAAGCCTATTCTCAGCTTTACATTTCCCTGACGGTTCAGTTGATCAGATGAGATAAAGGCAAATATTACAGACAGTGCCTGATCAAACGTCTGTGTGCGTGTCATCTTTAGTTGGGCATTAAGAGCATTAATTGCAGCTTCAGACTGATAACTACACGACAGAAATCCAAGCATGTCTAAATAATAGGGGATCACAGTTTAAAATCAAATACTAATAATGAAAGACAAATCTGGATTCCAGGCAGGAGTCCACACATGAAACGGGTCAGTAATCCCCTCCCCGTTTGTCCCAATGTGGGTTTTGATCAACACTATAATCTGATCAACTCTGCCATTACAGATGAGAATTATGATAAAATGGGATCTCTGAAATAATAAATAGGAGAATAAGCTTTTTACTCTGGGCAGGAGACCATAGTGATCTTTAGCTGTGATAAAAATCAGTATTTGAACCCAGAGTCTAAGCTGTTCTTAACGTTTATCTAGAATGCTCCCGAGGTCCAGTTGGTGACCTTGTTGTACAGTCAGAGGTGCTTAATAATCAGTAAATCATTACTGACTGTCGTTTATAGGTCAGAAACAAATTGTTAAGCATTCTCAATCAGTTGCGTTTGTCTTCAGACCTCCAGAATGGCAGGGAGACGGGCTCTGAAGGCTGTGCTCATCGATCTCAGTGGAACTCTCCACATAGAGGACACTGCAGTACCTGGAGCGCAGGACGCCCTCAACAGGTGGGAGACTAGTTACCATTTTACATTTCCTGTTATTTTCAAACTCCCTGTTCAAACTGAAGGCCCCTGACTCTGCTCAGAGCAGACTTTAGATGTACTTTGAGACGTCTTCTTGTGTTCTGATGTCATTAGGCTACGACAGGCATCTGTGGCTGTGAGGTTTGTTACCAACACCACCAAGGAAAATAAGAGGAACTTACTGGAGCGACTGCAGAAACTCAACTTTGAACTCCAGGTGAAATATCAAGTTGTTTTGTTTTTTTTGCCCAGTTTTGTGCAATTTTATAAGTTCAGAGAAAACCAGTTTATGCCAATGAATCTCAATAAATGTCTATAAATATAAATTAGACATAAGACTAGTTTTCTGGCCAATTAAGCATTTATAAGTGGTCATTATATGAGGCTACCTCAGGAGGTATTGGCAGGGGGGCAAACCCTGCTCAAAGGTGAGATGGATGCAGATTATCAGCAGTAGGAATCAGGAAGTGCTACAGTTCCCGGGTAGATGCTAAGTTTATGCTGCATTTTATGCTTTTATTGGGTGTTTTATTATTTTAGATGTGTTAAAGCGCTTTAAAAAAAATAAAATTAAAGTTAAGGTGGATGATGGTGATGAAGAAGTTTGGAGTTGATAAACGAATGTAGGAACTCCAACAGATGGCACGGCCCCAAAGTGTAGGCTCTGTGCCTACAGTGGAAAGGAATAAATGCTTAATATTAATCACATTGTATGTAGTCAATTTATTTAACTTATATGTTTAACTTTTTGAACCTGGGATGATGTTCTTTTCTGAACTGGCAGGAAAAAGAAATTTTCACGTCTCTAAGTGCAGCGAGGAGTTTGTTGGAGCAGAAACAACACAGGCCGCTGCTGCTGGTGGAGGACAGCGCGCTCGAGGACTTCACTGGTACTTCCTGAAAGAACTAACATGTTAAAAACCTTTCTCTATTGCATACATTTCTTTTCCCTCCTGCAGTTTATTTTCACTGTCAGTCTATGACCATTTGAAGAAAGTAGATGAGATAAAAAACAGCTGCAGACTGTTTGATCGCTCCTCCCTTCTGCAGGAATCGACACATCAGAGCCAAACGCGGTCGTCATCGGCCTCGCTCCTGATCATTTCAACTACCAAACCCTCAACAAGGCTTTCAGGTGGGGCAAATATTCTTTATAATTTCTACTACAGATTATAACTGTCTCATAAAAAAAGTATATTTTTTCAAAAGATGTCATTTAAAACCTTAAGAATCCAAGTTATTTTTTCTGAGCAATCCCTATTAACTATTTTGATCTGTTTCTTTCCAGAATGGTTCTGGATGGAGCTCCTCTTATTGCCATTCATAAGGCTCGTTACTACAAACGTAAAGATGGTTTGGCCCTTGGCCCCGGGCCCTTTGTGACAGGACTAGAGTATGCCACAGACTGTAAAGCTACAGTAGTGGGAAAGCCTGAAGAGTCATTTTTCACACAGGTGAAGATTGTTTTTTAATACATACTTTGCCATAGTATCACTAATAAGGGGATTCCTGTGAGATCTCAGAAAGTCTGGACACATATTCCACGTCTTGTTAATTTTGGAAAGTCGACATTGAATAATCTGTATCTGATATTGCTTTGGTGCTTTTTACTAACGAACCTTAATTTATTAACCCTGTAATGCCAAATGTATCATATTTGATACATACGGTTTCTGAAATGTTTTG